ATGGTTTGAGAAATGGCCGAGTCTGGAAAAAGGTAGAACCACTCTCCTCTCCATGTTTAGATAAATAATGACCCCAAAACTGTTTACTCTCAATTGCTCTCTAGTTCTGCTTAAACTCAGCATCTCTTGCAGTTCAAATGCAAGAAAGCAGACACCACACCACCTACCTACCCACACCCACACACATCCCATTCCTGTAGAGTGCAGACACTAAGGAGAAATAACTTCTCAACTCTACCTGGAAGTTGCACATTCAAAGGATCTGCTAATCAAAGGACCTATTAACATATAACATGTTAAAGGATTTAACTAGGCTAAGGGTAATTATACCAGAATACCATTAACCAATGGAGAATAGTGAGGACTGAACCATGACCTTTTTTTTTCCTGCCTAAATCCCTAAGAGTCCTGGTAAGTCACACCTGCAAATGATAAAATCTCATTTAACGGGTTTTTATTAACCCTGTATAATATGGCTTACTTTCCAACCTGATTCTGGCATAGCATCACATGACAGATAAAAGACCCCCTTATCTTAATTAAGTCAAGCATTTGTTTCTACCAACTCCAGATCTTTAGACAAAGCTTAAACTCTTTCAATCAACTGCCAACCAAAGAATCCTCAAAACCCACCTATGACTTGTAAACCCCCACTTTGAGATGTCCTGCCTTTTCTGGCAGAACCAATGTACACCTTCCCTGTATTGATTTATGGTTTTACCTGTAATTTCTGTCTCCATGAATGTATAAAACTGAACTATAACCTGGCTGCCTCCAGCACATTTTCTCAAGACCTCTTGAGATCATGTTCCTTGGGCCACAGTCACACATATTTGGCTTAGAATAAACCTCTTGAAATTATTACACAGAGTTTGAATTTTTTTTTCCATTGACACTAGTCTCAGAAGGCAATGGAAACAATTTCCTAGGTTGACCTTGCCCACCAAGCCTATCTGCAAACCTGTTCATTGGGTGTCTTCTGTTCCAACCTATTGGAGCTTTGTTTCATTCTCTGGGATTCCATTTACTCCTCCTCACTCACTCTCTGCTATGCAAACCCCAAACATCCTGGGCTCCTTTAACATCCTGAATCCTACAGTTAGGAAGGTCTGGGACTTCCTGATTTCCCAATGCCTCATCCATCACTAAGAGTCTCTGAAGCTAGATTGGATCCTTTTCTAACAGTTCCCTTCAATGGATGATATCCCCCAAGCCCATCTCTTCCATAATGGCTTCAGTGACAATCTCTCAGGGAACTTCCTTGTTCACTGTCCCACTGAAAATGGCAGAGAGTGACTTGGCTCTTGAAGACATGCCAGCATTTTTGTTCTGAGGGCTCCAATCCCAAAGTGTAAATATGAGTCTTCTTTATTGGGAGCATTGCAAGAAGGTACTGTTCTCAATTCCCCAAAGAGCAGTAAAGATTACAGCTGGCAAATCTGATGACTACTGAACTGAAAGTATATTTATCAAGAAACTAAAGCTAAATGTTTCCGAGAAAATAACTTTCTTAAAAGAAAATGCTTTTGAAAAATAAATCAAATGAAATAAATGCTTCTGGGGGACTCTCTAGAGCCCAGACCCTGGGACGAACTAAAAGTAATCAATAAATTGTCCTCAATAATCTCCAGGTCTGGGACCACAAGGGGAACTAGCCTTGAAGGGGGAGTTCCCCTGGGGATTCCATAGCTGTGCTCTTATTTCTTGAGTTCCTAAAATAAGACTAATGTGATAATCCTGTGCAGTGGAAAGAAAGTCTTTCAGTGCACAAATCCTCCTTATGAGGGGTGAGTGGCAGCCACTGAACCAGAAACTAGCCAGATCGCAGCTGAATATAATCCCACACTGAAGGTGACCTAGTCCCTGGAAGGAAGGAGGCAGATGAAACAATTTAATCTCACCTAGAGGGAGGCCTGAAGGCAGGAGAATCTTGAGCTCCTTGTTCATTTGCTCTTTTCTCCTTCTAAATCAATACACCACATTCTGTGGTTCAAAGGAAGTTAAGAGGTTTCATTTCTGATTTACAGGCATGGTTAATTGCACTTTTGAGGGTAGGTGGTATTGTCTTTTTTTTTTTCTTTTAGAAACACAGCAATGGCACATGTTCTTACATACATTGCAACCAGCCCTGTGCATTATTTATTATATAGCTTGGCTGAGACTGTGCCTCCTGTACAGCTCAAGCCATGCAATTTCAGCTCTGTGCGGGGGTCTGAGGAGTCTAAGGAAAGGCCTTTGAATCAAAAGAATCTTCTCTCTCCCTTCCTGCCACAGTGCCTGAAACATTCACCATGAAAATGTTTCCATTGGGTTAGAAAAGGAAAATAAAATTCATTGTGAGCAGGAGGAGAGTAATACATTTATCTGTGGTCAATTTAGCATGAGTTGTTAAATTTGACATTAGTTTGTAATAATTTGAGGACGTAGAACAGGGAAGAGAGGAAGTTCTGGCTCCCAGAGTGAAACCAGAATGTTGATGCTGAACAGGTGCTATGATGACGGAGCCAGCACGTTTGTTGTGTGCACGGACGCTGGAATCAGAATAACAAGGTTGGAAATCTGGCACCACCACTGGTCACGGTATTTAACCTCCCAGAGCCCCACTTATCCCATCTGTAAAAGGGGGCGGTCCTGAAATTAATCCTCATGATGAAAGATACCATTCTGCTATATAATCCATACAAGTAAGATTTTCAGTGAGCAGGAAAAATAGGTTGGAACTCCTCCCGCACTATTTGGAAAGAGAGGATGGTAGTACGGGAAGGGCATCAGCCTTTGCCACTTTCTAGCTATATTATTGAAGTGGAAAATTGGAAAATTCCACTAAAGTGGAAAATTCCACTACTGGGCTTTGTCTTTTGCATTCCTTACCTGAGGCCCCTCCTCCTGCCCTGCGACCTTTCCCCTCATAAATCACCTGTAGGAATTAGTGTACCAGGCTGGAAAGTAACTTAGGACTCTGCCCCACTAAAGTTAACCCTGTTGTAACCGTGCCCCTCCCCCTTAAGCAGAGTGTATAAAAGACTGCAATGCTCTTTGTCTGGTGCTCAGAATTTGGAGGAAAAAATCCCCATCTGAGCCCGCTGGCATATAAACCAGTTTTTGCCAATATTTCTGTGTGCGTGTCAGTCTATTCCCGGTCATCTCTGCCATAACATTATGACCTTAGATCACTCCTGGGACTGGCTACAAAACTTGCAGGGCCCAGTGCAAAATGAAAATGTGGAGCCTCTCGTTCAAGACTTTTTAAAAAATTCTTTTAAGGTTGGGGCCGGGGGGATTTAACCAAGTTGCTTGTCCTTCTAAGCAGGGGACCTATGCAACTGTATAGGTGACATGCCTATGAAGACAACCGTAATTAGTCCTTTTGCCTAGGTCAGAGTCCTGGTTCTCTCAGGATCTAGCTCAGAGACTGTCACTTGCAAGTGACAAAAAGAAAACAAATAGCATTTATCTGACCATCACAGGAACCCTCCCTATTCTTGCCCACAATACCTCTCGAGATAAACAACAGCCCACATACTAGCATGTGCTTAACAGAAAAAAAACTGGAATGATACATGAGTATACAATTCTTATAACTAATCTTACAGAACAAGCAGAAACCAGCCTCTTTTGATTCATACAAGGGTATACTAAGAGATCTTTTCTCTCTCTCTCTCTTTTTTTAACTGAGCTATTTCTTGGAATGCCAAATTATTTAGGGGCTTTTGTCGTGTTTCAAGTCCTCTTCTTAAAGTAAGAATAATCTCTGTAGTTATAATATTAACAAAAGCACCAATGTCGGCACAAACAAAAATGTAAAAACAGAGGCACCTTTATGTCATAGTGACACATTGGGGCTCCACTCAGCTCCTCTTTAGAAAAAGAACCTGAAAAACAGACTTACAGGTACCCGTTTTCTTAAATAAACAATGGTTCAGGGAAGGTTGCACTGGAAAGATTATTGTCTCTAGCTCCCAAGTACTGCTTATCTGCCCAGTGGAGGACTCTGTGACTATTACAGAAATTGCTCTTAAATGCATAAAAAACATAAAAGAATTTTTTGGAAGATCCTTTATTATTCATTAAAGCATTTTAGGGCCTCATTAATTCAGACGGGATAATCAGTTGTTGATTAGCCAGGTTGTTAAGCATCCATTGTCAGATGCTGATGGGGTGTGAGAAATTACATTTTCTATCCACCAAAGAGTCACCTGAATGAGGTCAGCACTTCATCAGATAAGGCTGTATCTTCAGGGGAAAATTAGCTTGGTCTCCATTCTTTTCTTTCATCTTCCAAACTTCTCTGTATCGTAAAACATTCCTTATTCTATTTGTTTCCTCTTGCCTAGCTAAGATCTGAAGCTGTCAAAATCTGTTTTCAAAAGCTAGCTGGTAACAGGTCAGTCACACGTACACACTTATTCTCAGGACTCTAACATTAAAAAGGCATGTGGGCTGGGGGTCTGTGTGTGTGTGCATGTGCGTGCGCGTGCATGGATTTGGCTTTGGTTTTGTTTCACGGTTCTTATCTAGATACAGCCTCCTCTACACCCTCAGCCTTTCAGATCCAGGTGGCATTCAGGTTATCAAGGGGATGCTTCAGCCAGGGCTCAAAGACTCAACTTCCTTCCTTTCCAAACCTTGGCTGAGAGTAGCATAGCAGCAGTGAGCATGGTGAGAAAAGTTCCTGGGTTAGAAGTTTGAAAATGTGATTCAGACCCTGATTCTGTTTTAGGAGAGGAAATGACCATCACTAGCCAACTGCTCTCTATTCCAACAACTCATTTCATCTCCCTGACAGTTTGCAATTTATTTTCTCTCCCTTTAACAACAGAAAGACATTTGTATTTACCCTTTGTATCACACCTAGAAGAGTTGGGGGTGTATTTCTATAAAGGCAGACAAGTCCCCACCCCTTTTGGGGGCTTCTGTTCCAAAAGGGACAGAATGCTTCCAACACTATAGAGGACACCCTTAATCAAATATTCCAAGAAGAGGGTCCTTGTTGTACTCACGGAACTGCTCTAGATGGTCAGTGCTGTTGGACTCAGGCATGGCTGTGATGGTTACCAATGGACACAGATTTCCACCCAACGTCTGGCAGAGAACCTCCTGCCGGAAGTAGACCTGCTTGGGGTCGACGCTTTTCTCCAGGATGTCAAGGTGAGTCTGGAGCAGAAATAAAGCAGCCGTGTGTATTATTAATATTTTTCATAATAAATAATAAAAACACAGATTATACACATCACATTTATGTAACTCCTTATAGTTTAGAAGTATTTTTGTTAACTTAATCTGCCCTATATATATCAGGCATTGAGTGATTAAAAGGAGGCTACCCCTGCTATGTAGGAGAAGTTCAGTTAGGCTAATCAGGAAGCACCATTCCTGTACGTTTAAGCACAATAGAAGAGCTGTTTTCCAGTTGCACTGAAAGCAAGAGGACAGGGGCATGAAGCACTCTTCCTTCACTGTGGCCCATGAAGGATGTGGATGCCACAAAGAGAGAGCACACCCAGAGCACTGGGGAGCGTGAGAGAGAAAACGTCAGCAACACACAGTATCACAGGACCAAGCAATAAAGGAGAGTTGTGCCTGTATCAGAAGAGGATAGAAAACACTTGATCCAGAAGGATTGCTAAGCTAAAAGAACAAACAATTAGTAGGAATTGATTTTTCCTACCATAACTCCCCATTTAAATACTCATTTAAAATACAGAATAATACAAAAATGAAATAACCATTAAAATTAGAATGCCTGGTTAACAATATTTAAGACTTCTCAAGAAATTTCCACTAATAAAAACAGTGGGATTAGTTATAAAGAGGCTAAGAGACGTCCCCCCCATCCACACTGCCTACCCTGACAGCAGAGGCTTCAGTAACCAGAGAGGACACAGCTGTCCCTCCTCAGCACAAGAACTTCACTGCACAGGACTTACCCTCCCCACTAAAGATCTAAAATTTTCACCACAATCAAGCAGGTATTAACGGGACCAACGAGAAACTACCCACCTTGTTTCCTAACAAAAAACAAGCCTGCTAAATGAAACAAACAAAAACACGTGAACCTTATGAGAATATTTATAAAATATTCATAAATATACAAAATACATGAAAAAGGGACTAGTGCCCTCAAAAGGTAGAGGGAGTATTTACACCTGGAAAGGATTTACTACAGATGTGGTAGGCAGAATAGTGGCCCCAAATATGTCCACATTCTCACCCTCCCGCCTCCGCTCCAGCCTCCAAAAGAAACAAAAAATTCAGCCCCAACATCTTGGTCTTTGCCCAATGAGACCCATGTCAAATTTCTATAAGACAAAAAAAAAATTTATTCCTGACGTCACTAAATTTGTGATAATTTGTTACAGTGGCAATAGATAAATAGTAAAACAGGAAACAAGAATTTCCTAAACTAAGTAAAAATCTTAGCATCTGACTAGAAAAAGATTAAACCTTTCGGTACTCTACTGAGATAGTTGAGTTGCAAGGAGAAATAAAAAGTGCCAAAGAAAGAAAATATTATCAGACGATTCTATGGCCTTTCCTCTAGCCTCAGGGACATCTGAAAATTGGACCCTGCGTCATTACATCCTCCTTACAACTGAGAACCAAAATCATCCACCCCCACACAGCTTACTATCTACATTATCATGACTTTACTATTCCTCCACTTTCATCAGCATAACTTTACTAATCCAGGAAATTCTCACTCAGGAAAATAGAAATTACAAATAAATTTATTGTTCATTCTAGGAATATCCCATCAACTCTTTAATAAAAAGCATCAACCAATCTTTGATCCAAGACTCTTTGAATCCCTCTCCTCAAAATCCTTGTCTTACAGTGTCTGCCAATCTTAAACCATTACATAATGATCTTTACCCAGTCCCAATTAAGACCCCACATTAAAACACTTGCCTTTAAACCAGGATTTGAAGCCTCAATAAATATCCTCACTTTGCCCTTTGCGACACTATCGAGATTCTGTCCCATTCTTTCTCCCTTGTCATGTATATTTGTTTCCTACTGTTATTATATCAAATTAGCACAAATTTTGTAGGTTAAGAAAATAAAAGCTTATTGTTTTGCAGTTCTGAGGGTCAGTAGTTCAAAATAGGTCTCATGGGCAAAGCTCATGGTGTGGTAGAGCAGAGTTCCTTCTGGAGGCTCTAGAGGAGAATTCATTTCTGGAAGTCCAGCTTCTAGAGGTCACCTGCATTCCTTGGCTTGTGACGCATTTCTCCACCTTCAAAGCCAGAAATTGCACTGCCCCAACCTCTGCTTCCATCACATCACTTCTCTTTCTCTGGCTCTGACTCTCTTCTCTCGGTCTTTCCCTTATAAGGACCCTGGTGATTACAACAGGCCCAACCTGATAATCCAGGAGAACCTCCCTCTCACAAAATCCCTGATCACATCTGCAAAGCCCCTTTACCAGGTAAGGGAAGATCTTCACAGGTGCCAGGGATTAGGATGTGGACCTCTTTGGAGGGCTATTATTCTGCCTAGCACCCCGACATGAGCAATAAACTCAACTCTGTCTTAGAAACAGGTTGCTCTGGTGATATTCCAGAGAGCCAGAATTTGACACAATACTAAGTAAAGGAACTGTAAGAAGCATATCTATGCCAGATTAAAGATAAATGAGAATTCAGCTGAGGCCCATGTATCCGACCAAACCTTTGCAATTCATGGTTACGACTGTTCAGCAAGTAATGAGTGTCAGGTATTGACAAGATGCACCTGCACTGGAGACTGGGTGGTAGTCACATGACCCGTGAGGAGGCCAGGTGACTAATTAATTGTACATGCACAAGCACACACACAACAGAGGGGCTAGGCACCTAGCTAGGTACGAAAGTTGAGGAACCCCCGGGCTGAAGGCTTTCCCAGGCTGAGATGGTCCAGGCCCACTCAACCTGATCTCCCACGATCACACAATTCCATAGTGAGGAGTCACCGGGACTCCAGAGATACTCACTAAGCCCTTTCCATGCATGCCGTGTTGTCTTCTCTGCACTCTTTGTTAAGGATGAATAATTTGATTCTTGGTAAAGCCTAATCTTGCGTGTTTCAATGCCAATCTAAGCCCAGCACCACTGCTCTCCTAGTTGAGTAGAATGAAGCTTTCACCCTACAATTAAGATTAATTTTAAAAGTGTGTGTGTCTCTGTGTGTGTATGTAAATAAACCTATTATACATATACCTATATACAAAAAATCATTCTTGGCTCTTACTTCCTTCTACAACACTAGATGCCAGAGAAAACTACATAGAGTTTGAAAGTAGAAAAAGGGTTATAATCTAATAAACCTATAACCAGCCAAGCTTTTGCTCATGAACAAATGTAGAATACATGCTCAGAAATTGCAAGAGCTCAGAAGGCATATCACCTTATCTTTATTGAAAATAATGACTTGAAGACATACTTCAATTGTCCCAAAATGAAACTAAAAAACAATATCAAAGGACTATGATAAAGTCCAGTTACACAAGGCTTAAGTCTAAATAACCATTAAAAACATGGTTGCTGGCCGGGCACGGTGGCTCACGCCTGTAATCCTAGCGCTCTGGGAGGCCGAGGCGGGTGGATCGCTCAAGGTCAGGAGTTCGAGATCAGCCTGAGCAAGAGCGAGACCCTGTCTCTACTAAATAATAGAAAGAAATGATCTGGACAACTAAAAATATACATATATAGAAAAAATTAGCCGGGCATGATGGCACATGCCTGTAGTCCCAGCTACTTGGGAGGCTGAGGCAGAAGGATTGCTTGAGCCCAGGAGTTTGAGGTTGCTGTGAGCTAGGCTGATGCTACGGCACTCACTCTAGCCCGGGCAACAAAGCGAGACTCTGTCTAAAAAAAAAAAAAAAAAACCATGGTTGCTACATGATAAAAGCATAAAAATAATTCTTCAGGGAGAAAATACACATTAGCAAACTTTGATGTCATTACCAGTCTCTAAAATGAAATTAAAGAGAGATGTGTGATGGAGGAACAAAGTGAAATAAAATATTAACATTTCAACTCACATAGATATACTAATATTATTTAATTCTTGAAAATGAAAAGGCAGGATTTAGTATTATGCCAAATGCTGGCTCCCTGACATATCACCAGAACCACCTGTTTCTACAACAGAGTTGAGTTTATTGCTCACGTTGGTGTGGCAGAGGCAGAATAATGGCCCTCTGAAGAGGTCCACATCCTAATCCCTGGAACCCAGGAAGATCTTACTTCACCTAGTAAAGGGACTTTGCAATTGTGATCAGGGATTTTGGGGATGGGGAGATTCTCCTGGATTATCAGGTTGAGGCCGGTGTCATCACAAAGGTCCTTATAAGGGAAAGACTGAGAGAAGAGAGTCAGAGCCAGAGAAAGAGAAGTGACGTGATGGAAGCAGAGATTGGGGAGAAGCAATTTCTGGCTTTGAAGGTGGAGGGAGGCAACACCAGCCAGGGAATGTAGGAACCTGGGTTCACATTCTGGCTGTGGATTCTGGGAAAGTTACATAAGTTCTTTACTATACTTCCTTGTAACTCAGTTTTCTCATCTTCAAAATGTGTATAAACATACCATTACCTACCTCATGCAGTGGTTGTTATAGTTACATAATGTATGTGAAGAGCATTTGTAATGTAGGAAACAATTGATGTTAGCTATTATTGTTGATGGAGAAATGTAAGTTCAAATATGTTATTTTTAAAAACTAAAAGCATTAGTAGAATTATAAACTGAGGAGAAAAAATCAAAGGAAACATCATCCACATTTCATAAGAAAGGAAAAAAAACAGAAATGAAGCATGGAAAATAGCATAAAATCAAAATGACAGAAGTAACAGTAAAAGCTGTTGTAAATAAAAACAGGTAATCAACCTTATGAAATGACAAAAACTTTCAGATTACTTTTTAAAATCCCACTATATGTTGTAAAGAAGAGGTACATTTAAAGAGAGAGAAAAAGAAAAAAAAATGATGTGTATGAGAAACACTCCTAAATTGTCTTATTTTGTTTGCCTTTACTCAAACATTTTAAAGGAGAAATATCGAAACTAAAAGGATAAGCAAACATAAATTAAAGTAGGTATGGCAATAGTAATATACGACAAAGTCATATTCAAGATCAAGTGCATTAAATGGGATTTTAAAATCTTATTTTGATAA